CGGCGCCGGGGGGCCGCACCCCAGTCGCGCGCGGACACACTCGGGGCGCCGAGCCCGTAGGGTGAGCCCGGCCGACAGATCCTGCGCCTGGAGCGCAGAGGGTCCCCGAAGTTCCAGGGCCGGGAAGAGGAAGCTAGGGGTCTCCGAAGTTGTGGACACCGAGGCTGGGGGAGGCGCGGGGAACCTCGAAGTTTCGGGGCTTGGGGGGGTTCCGCAGGGGCCCAAAGTTCCGGAGTCCGGGAAGGGAAGGAACGGTGCGAGGGATTCCCAACGCTCCGGACCCGGCGCTGTAGGAGCTGCGGAGGTGTCTCCGGAGTTCTGGACGTGGGGTCGGAGCGGGGAGCAGCGCGAGGAGTGCCAGAAATCCGAGCCTAGGGCTGGCAGGGGGTGCCCGAAATTGAATCGGGGGCGGCGTGGAGAATCCGAAGTTATGGACCACGGGCTAGAGGAGACAGAGATGTCCATGAAGTTCTGTACCGGGGGGCGGGGGCATCGTGGGGATCTCGGAAGTTCCAGGGTCTCGGTGGCAGTTCCCGAAGTTGGGGCGCGCACTGGGCGGCCCGCTCCTGGTTCGCGTGGGGGCCTCGATTCTGACTGAGTATCACGCAGCTGGGATGCATGGGGTGGGGCTTCGCCCCCTCACGCGCTTGGGGATCAGGCATCGGGCGGGGTCGGGCCCCCCCTCCAGGAGCCCCGGGCCGCCAGGCGTCCGAGGCGCATGACTAGTTGGTGAGTAACTTTCCCCAAACGTTGCAAGTCGCGGCAGGAGCGTCGGAACCGGAAGGGCCTGAGTTCTCGGGATCCCTGCGCCCCAGAACCCCAGCCCGACACACGACTTGCCTCAAATCACCACTAGAGCTGCCGCCCCTCCTCCACCCAGGGGCTCCGATTTCAGACTCCGCGACCCGGACTGCAGCTGCCCAGGACTTGGGGGGAGGGGAAGAGGCATCCCCCCTCTGGCCGCTGAGGTCGTTCCATTCCTTCTTCCAATTTACCATCCCTTCCCCCAGATCCTTCTTGAGTCCCCCGATGCAGGATTGGGGATAAGCAGGTGAGGGGCGGAAATCTCTCAGGTCCCTCTGGCTTCTGTTGGGTGGGTGGTGGCTGGGGGAATCAGAAGCTAGGCATAGGGAGTCCCCCATCTCCAGATCCTGCCTGGATACTCCCCGGCCTGAGTGTGGAATTGAGAGGAGATGGCCATCTGCTGAGGGCACCAGGGCTGACCTGTTTAACTACATCTTGTCTTTTTACCTAGGTTGGGGGCTCTCTGGGGATTTGGACTTTGACTCCAGGGGGTGCCTCTGCCTTTGGAGGGGAAGTTGGGGCTTCCACTGTGAATGGAAGGGGGCTGGTCTCCAGTAGGCACCAGACTACACCCCATTTTTTTGATGGAGGCCCTGGCTTGGGTGGTGATGGGGAAGTGTCAGAAAGTCCTGGGCCACAGTCGGTCTTGGCTTTGATCTCTACCTGGTCCCTAGACTGAGGGACCTTCAGTGGCAGGGAGGGGTCTAGTGGCTAAGGGGTCTAGAAACTAGGACTTGACAAGGTTTATGTTATGGTGTGTGTCAGGAACCTTCTGGCTCTCAGAGTGTTGTGGGGGAGGGCATCCTTCATCCTTCAGAAGGGAAGAGATGAAAGATGTTTTTTTTGCTTTGAACAGTATACTGACTCACTCCCCTTTTTGAAACAGTTGTATGAATGGTGTGCAGGGTGGTGGGTCCTGAGGTTCGACATCCTTGACCTCCCTCAATCTGTCATACACCCCCTTTCTCCCCAGAGGCCAAAGCAAAAAGACCTGCCATCCCTCTGGCTACCTCTTGGAGCCCATCCAGCCCAGCCTGACCAATGTCCACAGCCAGGTAAGTCCCTGCCTACCTGGCTTGGCCCTGAAACCTCCCAGGGTGGGGTGGAGGGCACCCGACTCCCCTCCTGAGAGCTCTCCCCCCACACAGGGAGCAACCCATCTTCAGCACACGGGCACACGTGTTCCAGATTGATCCCACCACCAAGAGGAACTGGATCCCTGCGGGCAAGCATGCGCTCACCGTCTCCTACTTCTACGATGCCACCCGCAATGTTTACCGGATCATCAGCATCGGGGGTGCCAAGGTCTCTGGTGGGACTTGGGTGTGAAGGCAGGCCTGGGTGTGGTCACGGCCTTACTGTTTGCCTGGGACCAGGGGACCTCTGAGCCTTACTGGACCTCAGTGTCTTCCTCCTGAAATGACTCAGGCCAAGAATCTCTGAGGCACTAAAACAAAGTGATTGCCTAGGAATTTCATGTTCATTATTACCAGCCCAGGCATCCTTGAACTTTGCTCCCTCCTCCCCCCTCCTCAGGCCATTATCAACAGCACCATTACCCCCAACATGACCTTCACCAAAACCTCCCAGAAGTTCGGGCAGTGGGCAGACAGCAGAGCCAACACTGTCTATGGCCTTGGCTTTGCTTCGGAGCAGCATCTGACCCAGGTGGGCCTATGGGAAGAGTCGTGAGGGGGATGTGTCTGGGTTTTCTGGGTGACTGGGTCCCTGGACAGCTGCAGGGTCTCTTTCTTCCCAGGCGTAGAATGCGCATACAAAATTGGACAAGCCTGAAACCGCTTTCCAGTTTCCTGGTTCACATCTCAGTGTTGCTGGTCACCAGCTCTAATTTGGGGCATACCTGGCCTCTGTGGGTACTTGGGTGGGGCTAGGCACTTCCCAGTTACCCTGGCATCTTTGTTCATGGCTTCCCACCACCCTCTGCTATCGCCAGACTTTAATATCCTCTCATCTACCTGACAGTCAGTACTTCCTGTGTCCTGATGAGATCATCATGATTTCCTAGAATTATTGTTTTTCTTTTCACATTAAAGTCTTGAATTAATTGCTGTGGGCTGTAGAAGGTAATCTTTTCTTCCCCCCACACAAGTGCTGGCTGCTCTTGGCCATTTTGTGTTTTTAAAGACTTATATATTTGTGCATACAGAGCTGGGGTACAGGCCAGAGGTGCAGGGGCAGTGGGGAGACAGAGACAGAGTGGGGAGCAGAACAGGTTGATTGGCAAAGTACACTGCTGAGGGGAGCAGCAGGCGGGTCAGGAGAGGTCTGCTGCGCCATGTGGTCACCTCCCTGGCAGGGGTCGAACTCATGCTGAAGTGGCTTTAGCTTCTTAGTGTTGTGCTTTAACCCGCTGTGCCACCAGGGAGGGCCCTGCTCTTGGCCATTTTTTAAAATATTACTTCCCCAACTGAATTGCACCAACCCCTTGGTACACATCAGTAAATATTTTCTTTAGAAATTATTTCAAACAAAAGAATTTTATTTAAAAATGAAAAATGTACCTTAACAATATGGGTGATAAGGGTAGAGATCAGTGAAACAAAAATGAGACCAGCAGGGTGGGAATGGATGCCTTTCAGAGCTGCTTTCTCTGTTATAAGAGGATCTTGTCCCAGGCAGTAAAGTCAGAATAGGATCTGCCTCAGGGTCTCCAGGTTGAAATAAAAATGGTAGAGAGAATGGGGGGATTCTTTTCTCAAGGAATCTCACCTTGAACGACCTCTGTGAACATCCCATCCTTCCCTGGGGGACCCCCTACCCCCACTCTGCTCACCAGGGGATCTTTTACCAAGTCTTCTTTCTAAAGGTTTCCAAAGCAACAGGTTGGCATAGGGTGGCACCCGTGATCTGGTGGGGCCTAGGTGAGGAGGCTAGGGGGTTGGTAACTATTTGTCCCTGCCTACCCACCCCAGTTTGCTGAGAAGTTCCAAGAAGTGAAGGAGGCAGCCAGGCTCGCTCGGGAAAAATCTCAGGATGGTGGAGAGCTCACCAGTCCAGCTCTGGGGCTCACAGCCCACCACGTAAGCACTGCCCGTCCCGGTGCCCACACCCAAATGTTCAGATGAAATGGTGGTAGGTGAGATGATGAGATAGTGAGATGTAGGGGCTGGGGTTGTGTGGTGCCTTAGAGCATGCATTATGGGTGTGACCTAGTCTTGTTCCAAGGAAGGCCCGAAAGCCAGCTCATAGGGCAGAATCAGAACCTGGGGACTGAAATGGCCACACAGGGGAACAGTAAAATATTGTCCCTGGGCAGTTGTGTGAATGCAGCACCAGACACAGGTTAGACTTGAAAAAGCAGGCTGGCTCTGGCTCCTGTCCTCAGGACTCAAGGTTTTTGTGGTAAAGTGGATTCATAATGAATTCAGAGGGGCTTCTCGGAATCTGAAGTGCTAAGGGTGTTGAAATTCCGCCCCAGGGAAGGTTATTGCTATGAGGGAAGAGCAAGGTCTTCTGGATTCTGAATAAGCTCAGTGGATTTAAACTGCTCTACAGATCCCGCCTGGGGTGGAGGTAGGGTAATGATGAAAGCTCAGGCAGGCAAGATGGGGGGCCGGGACCCAAACTCCACCTGAAGCCATGGAAAGTGGTTGACGCGGGGAGGGGCACGGTGGGTTCCCTGTGCTGGAAGGATCCCTGCCCTCAATCAGGACCCCGCTAACATCAATCGTCCCCCTCCCCCTGACCTTCTAACCTGTCCTGGACTGAAGCCACCCCCCACTGTGACTCCACTTCTGCCTGTGCCCTTAGGTGCCCCCGAGTCCCCTCATCAGTACCAACGGCCCCGGTGACGAGAAACTGTTCCGCAGTCAGAGCGCAGACGCCCCGGGGCCAGCAGAGCGCGAGCGGCTCAAGAAGATGCTGTCTGAGGGGTGAGGGAGAGGTTGGACCAGGAGCCCGGCAGGGACAGAGGGAAGCCCTGGCTCGGAGCTGGCGGTGGGCTGGTGGGCGGGTGCAGCATCGGGCAGGCTGAGGGTGAACCGAGGCCTGAGAGAGGGGCAGAAGCAATCACCATCCAGTCCCTTGGGGAGTAGACCCCTCCACTCAGTACTCATACTTTGGCCATGCCTCCCGGGAATAATACGACCCCCACTTCTCTGCACCTGGTTCATTCTTCTGGGACAGTGCATCTCCGCTCATCAGTTCTGACCACATCCCCTGGGCCAGCACATCCCCTGGGCCAACGCATCCGCTGGACCGACCCAGGCCCACATTCCTCACTGAACACCCTAGGGGAGACACCCCCCATCCTAGAATGTACGGCCCCTACCCAGTCTCCCTACCCAGTCGCCAGGGTGTGACTACACCCCCATGTTGACCCCGCTTGGGTTGGTGCAGCCCCTGCCCTGCCCCCTCCCGCCCCCAACCCCCACTCACCCATGTACGGCCAGCCCCAGCCAACCCCCCACTGTCGTCCCTGCAGCTCGGTGGGAGAGGTGCAGTGGGAGGCCGAGTTCTTCGCACTGCAGGACAGCAACAACAAGTTGGCGGGCGCCCTGCGGGAGGCCAACGCCGCTGCTGCCCAGTGGAGACAGCAGCTGGAAGCCCAGCGCTCGGAGGCTGAGCGGTTAAGGCAGCGAGTAAGAGGACGCTCCCTGCCCGGGAACCTTGAGTCAGGGCACTTTCCTGAACCTCGGCTGCTTGCTCTGTAAAATGGGTCTGAAATGCCATCTGAGGGTTGACAGGCCCTAAAATCCCATCTGTCAGAGCCAAGGGTGGGGCCCAACGGGTGTCACTGTGCAGGAGGCAGTTTCCCGTGGGTCAGGAGCTGTCCTTCCTGTCTGCACAGGTGGCTGAGCTGGAGGCCCAGGCAGCCACAGAGCAAACCCCCGTCAGTGAGAAGGAGGGGCTGTGCCAGTCCCTGGAGCAGCTGGAGGCACTGGTGCAAACCAAGGACCAGGTGAGCATTTGGCTTGCAAACACACCTATATGTGTGTCCCTGGCCTCGCCTTCCCTGACACCCCTTTGAAGCTGGCACCTCTAAACAGGCCCTGGGTACTCTTCCTTAGGAGATTCAGACACTGAAGAGCCAGACTGGTGGGACCCATGAGGTACCAGATGCCACAGAACGTGAGGAGACACAGCAGAAAGTGCAGGTATGAGGCTTCTGGGGTGGGGTGATTGTAACTGGCAACGAGCCTCTGCTGTAGGCTGTATTTGAGCTCTCTCCTTCCCGGGGAATCCTGACAGCTGTGTGTCTCTCCGCGCCTGTTTCTCTACCTATAAATGGGGTCAGGAAGACCTGAGGCTGGCTGCGGAGACCTGGTTGTAAATGGTAGCTGTTATTGGTACCATGTTTCCTATTCATCCACGCATTCAATAAGCAGTTTGATTCCCTACTGAATTCCCATGTTTGGCCCCATCAAGTTCTCATACATCCCAGCCTGGAATCAAAAACCTGCCTCTGAAACCACACCTGGCTATTGCTGAGGACTTTATCCGGGAAACTTTCATGGGATACCTCCTGTGGGTATGGAAAGTGGGGGTTTTAAAAGATCTGGTACCAGGAGAGAAGTGGGGAAGTTGTTTTCTCGTGGGTAGAGTGTACAGCATGTGCAAAGGCCCTGCAGTGGGAAGCTAACGAGTTCAAGGAAGCACAGGGAGGCTACAGGCTTGAGTTGGGATGGGCAAGGACAGAAGGGGAGTGTTGGTCTCCTTCCCATTGCCTTGGCCGGGGAGGGTTTTCAGCAGACAAGGGATGTGAGCAGTCCTATGAAGGTGAAATCATTGGGGCCAGGGAGTATCTTGGCAGACAGCAGGAAGGCAGTGGGAGACGGAGGGTGGGGGCTGTGGAGGTAGCGTAGAGGCTGAAGCTTCAGCAGAGCTGTGACCTGAGACTTGGAACACCCAACTCACAGTGTCCCTCCCTGCAGGACTTGGAGACCCGAAATGTGGAGCTGGAGCACCAGCTGCGAGCAACAGAGCGCAGCCTGGAGGAGGCGCGGGCTGACCGGGAGCGGGCGAGGGCCGAGGTGGGCCGGGCCGCACAGCTGCTGGACGTCAGGCTGTTCGAGCTGAGCGAGCTGCGGGAGGGCCTGGCCCGCCTGGCTGGGGGAGCACCCTGAGCCAGGCCTTCAGAAGCTGCTTTACACAAACCAGGCCTGCCTGGCACATGGGCTGGGCCGCGGGCGGCACAGTGGGCCGTTCGCCCTGGCTGGGACTAGGGCTGACTCAGCCCGGGGAGGGCCTGGTCAGAGTGCCCAGCTGGTCCCGGCTCTCTCGCTCAGGGGCTGGTTTTGAGCTTTTCATCGTGTAGAATTTCTAGCATCCCCGGGGCATGCGCTGGCGCCAAGATTACATTTCTAAGCGTAGCTGTGTGTGTGTGTGGTATGTGGGCACTGGGCATCGAGCCATCGTTGTGAGGCCCTCTACCAGCCTTCTCTTGAATGCTCCCTGGCTGCCTTGGTTCACATGGGACTTGGTCAGCCATGTGTAGGCGAGGCAACATTTGGAGTTGCTGGGCTGGGTTCCAGCTCTGCTCAGTGCTGGTACTCCCATCCACCCCCATGGGCTCAGCCTGAGTTGTCAGAACTTAGGTGGCCCCTCGCCAATACCCTCTTCACTCTGGCCTCAAACCCTAAATGAAACCAGGTAGGCAGGTGAGGCAGCCCCTAGAAGAGACGGGCGGCAGTATTCATTGGGTGGGGGAGTGGTCTCTCTACAGCTCACGATGCAACTGGAGAATCGTACAGTTGTTAGGCTAACCTTCCAGAGAGGAAACTGAGGCCCCGAGGCAGCTTCGCAAACCTGAGGTCATCACACTGGAACAGCTAGACTCACAGTGTAAAGCTTTGGGGCTGGCTGGACAGGAATGGAGAACCAGGGAGGGGTGGGGTGACACGACATTCTGGGGGAGAGGGACACATGAAGCCCATTAGCGACCTCTCCTCTCCTGCCTCCAGTCCTTAAGAGTTGGACAGGGACATCAAAAGATCCATTTATTGAGTGCCTCTTGCAAATAGCTTTGTTGTTCTGAGTCCCACTGCATCTCCAGGAAGGGACTGGCCACAGCCAGCTTCCTTGCCTTCTCCGAGGTCTGACTCTTCCCAGGGCTTTGGAGAGCGGCCAATAGGGGCCATAGGGTGAGCTGTACTTTGCATGATGGAGCTGTCTGTAGGAGCTGCTGGGGAGCTGGCAGGCTGGGGTGGCAGGCTGCTGTCTCCCAGGAAGGAGTCCTAAGAAGCACTTGTGGACTCAGGCCAGGCCCTGGGTTGAGCGGTTCTTAGGCTGGGGCTTGGGTAAATGTCCCCCTCGGCCAGCTCTGCCAGCCTGCTGCTGCTTCAGTGTTCGCTCCACCTTTTCCTTGAAGCGCCGGTTCTTCTGCTTGATCTTAGCCAGTTCTGCCTTGCGCTTGGCCTCCAGGTCTGGGTCCTGGTATGAAGAGGACCGGGGGTAGCTGAGCTGGGCAGTGCCCCACAACCTCACCCACCACCTACCTGCCTGCAGGGGCCTCACCTTCCCCTCCAGGATCAGCTGCTTCCGCTTATTGATCTCCTTCTTTTCATCGAAGTTGGCTGCCTCCAATTTCTAGTGGGGAGTGGAGGTGAATTCTGTCATAGAGGGCCACCTCTTGGCGGGAGCACCCTCACCCCAGGAATAACTCCCCAACACTCACAATCTCACACTCCCTCCGCACCACGTTGACCTGCGTAAGAATCTGCAGCACGTCAGCCTCCTCCACTGAGAACTCCTCCAGCTTCTTCTCTATGGGGGTGTGAGACACAGGCAGGGTAGGGAGCATGACAGGGAAAGACAGATTACCCACACAGTGAGTTACCCTTTGGGGGGCGGGGGCATGCAAGGCCATCCAGAGCTGCAGCAGGTGGGCAAGACCAGGGACTCCAGCTTTTTGTTATTTGGTTTTGGAAAATGTCCTTGAAAGTAAAGACATTTCTGAATGTGTGTGAACACACATTTCTGGCTGGGTAGAAGTTAAACCACCCAAAGGGTTCTAACACACCCAGGCTCTGTCCACGGAGCCTCACAACCATGGAACTACCTGAGAAAGCCCAGCCCCTTCCCACTTGATGGGGCTTTCAGCTGCTGAGAACCACTGTGGGGAGCTTCTGTCCCAATAGTTGGGCAAAGAAACTTCTCTGGGGTTTCAGACAAAAGAGCTTTAAGCTGCTCACAGCCTCTCCCACTCCCCACACCCACTCACTGATCTGCTCCTCGATAGCGTGGACCAGGTGGATGTCATACTGCGTCACTAGCGTGATGGCTTGGCCTTGTCGCCCTGCAGGAATGTACCAGTTAGCTGTTGTGTGTGGGGCCTGGACGAAAGGCCAACAAAAGCAGATCCTGACCACTTGGCAGCTGGGACTCCTCTTGATCAATCAAGGGACGTAAGATCAAGGTTTGGTGGCGGGGAGAAGGAAGCCCAGAACTCCCCCACCAGCTCAGTCCCTCACTAGGCCTCAGTCTAGTGGCTGGCTCTGTACCAGGGGAGCTACTTGAATGACTTCAAAGGAAGCTGGCAACATAGCTGTTTTCCTACTTCTATGTCACTGCCAGGGAGCTCAGGCAGTAACGTCACTGAGAAGCCTAGATCTTAGCACACCAGTCCTCCACTCATTGCACCGTGACGTGACTCATGCTAGGACAGCACCCGGCAACTGATGCGGCCCATTAGCCTGGTGCAGCCCTCAACAGGCATTACATTCTCATTACCTGTTAGCCACCTTCCTAGATGCCCCGGGCATCGAGGGCCCAGAGAGCTGAGATGACCTCACTGGTGCCACAGGGTAGGAGAAGGGCGAGAGCCCCAGCAACTGCCTCTCCCTATCCTACATGTAAGAGTCCCAGCCCCCCATACGCCTCCCTTCTGGAGTTGGGCAGTCATAGGACACCTCCTTAGCTCCTGGCGGGGTCACAGTGAGGGACCAAACCTGGGCACCATGGGGTCACACAGAGAAGCCAGACAGCTCTGCTCTGTGTCTGAAAGAGCAAGCCCCTCAGCCTGCAAATGTTACCTCCAATAGCTCTCACCTGCTGGCTATTCCCCCCAAAAGGCCACCGCAGCCTGCTGGCTCACCTGCACGGGCTGTCCGGCCAACTCGGTGGATGTAGATCTTGGGGAGCCCGGGGGTATTGTGGTTGATGACCACCTGCACTGTGGGAATGTCTAGGCCCCTACAGGAAGAGGCCAGTCAGCACCATTGTTCACGAGGAGTAGCTGGACAGGGAGGGACCCTCCGAGCTCACCAGCATTAAAGATGGGGCCATCTGACTCAAGCCCAAGGTCAGCCTCCCCCTCTGGCCCCTCTGGGGACATCACATTGAGCACCCTGGGCCACTCACCGGGAGGCAACATCTGTTGCAATCAGGATCCTGTAGATGCTGGACTTGAATTTGGCCAGGGCAGCAAAACGTTCTTTCTATACCGGCTCAGGGGGAGAATTGACATCAGTATTTTGGCAAACATTTGAACATTTACTGGGTGGCGTATATGCCAGGGCAGAGGCCAGGGCAACCCTGCCCTCCACAGGCTCACAGTCCAGTGAGGGTGGCAACCATGAGAAGGTCAGATGGACAGATGCCACAACAGACACAGCTGACAGGAGGGCCTCACCAAGGAGGGATGTAGGAGACCGGGACATGGACAGGGGTGTGCCAGCAGACAGAAGCGCCTGGCCAATGGCCTGAGGCTGGGGGCATCCAGGAAGCATGCTTGGGTGGCTGGCACTGGGAAAGCCCAGCAACTCACCTGCTTCATCATGGAGTGCAGAGCTACGGTGGGAAAGTTGAATTTGCGCAACATCATGCATAAGATCTGGCAGGTTCTGGTGGGAAGGACATGTCATAAACTCCAGCCAACGTCCTGGGAAGGTGCTCCTAACCCACCCACTCCCAGTCTCCAACAGATGGCCCTGCACTGCTGGGGAAAGAAAAGCAGGAGTGCAGTGGTTGGACCCGGCCTGCTGACATCCTGTCGGTTGACTGTTCCCGTAGCCTAAGCCCGTAAGAGTAGCCTTAATTCAAGACTTTTCTGTTTTGGTAGCTGATAAATTCTGGGGAGCCAGCAGCCAGTTAGGAGACCTCCCAACTCCAGCCCTGCTGGAACATCTATGATTTCTTGACAATTTTCCCCAATACTTCAAAGGAAGAGCTGGCTAGAACTGTCCCTCGGAGTTGTCTGGGACAGCAAGATGACTGCCCTGGGGTTGTGCTGGTCTGTGGGCCTCTGGGGCCAACCCAGGCACAGCCACTCTGGTTAAAGTGGGCCTGATGAACCCTGAAGTCTGTTTCAGCCTCTGGGAGGGGTAACCTCTCGGCCTCCTTGATCAAATCCTCTAAAACTTCTATCTGAACAGAGACCCCAGACACCAGCTATGTCTCATGCCTGTGATGTGGAGTCACCCGTGGGCCCCTGGGGGGGGGTGGTGGTGTCAGGGGACAGTAGTCTACCAGAAAGGGGTGTGACAGGTTGCCCATGTCTTGCTCACTTGCATGTGTTGGTGAAGATGATGATGGACCAGTCCTCATGCTCATCCTGGAAGCTCTGGATCAGGTGGACCAGATAGGCGTCTTTGACTTTTTCAGGCACCAGCAAGTAGCGCTGGTCCAGCTGCTCCACCGTGCGTACCCTAAGAATGGGCGACTTCTGTTTTTCCTTCTGTGTCACAACCACACTACCCCCGAATGCATCCTGTGTCATGCTTCCCCTTCTGCAGAATGGGGCAGATGCCCTGTCCACAAGTCATAACCTCCACTGGGTGTGAGCTTGACCCCAACCACCCTGCCCTTGCCCCAAGTGGCCATGGACTCACGGGGCCTGAGCCTCCCAGAAGAAGGGCTGGTTGGTGGCCAAGCCCTGTAGCTCCTTGAGTGTGTCAGTCAGCGTGGCGCTGAAGAGCAGTGTCTGCCTGCGGACTGGCACAGCTGCCAGGATGGTCTCCAGGTCCACAGTGAAGTCTGTGCAGCCCTGCTCCAGCAGGCGGTCTGCCTCGTCCATCACCTGCGGCACCAGCAAGCAGGGGAATTTAGTGAGCACTGGTCCTGAGGGCCCTGAGCACTTTCCCTTCTAGGTGTCCAGCAGCTTTACCCCTCTTGGCTCCAATGGCACAGCTTCAAGAGGCCCTGCCCTCAGTTACCTTCACTAACACAGGCCTCACCTGTTGACCTTTGGGCTTCATTGTCTCAAGTCCTTCCTATTGTTTTAAACATCTCCCAGGGCCTCCCTGGTGGCGCAGTGGGTTAAAGTGCAGCGCTATGAAGCTATAGCAGCTACTGCAGCACAAGTTTAATCCCGGGCCAGGAGAGGTCTGCCTCGCCATGCCTCCCCACTCTGTTCTGCTCCCTGCTCTGTCTCCTCTCACTGCCCCTGCACCTCTGGCCTATATCCCAGTTCTATATACATAAATAAGTAAGTCTTAAAAAAAAAAATCTCCCAAATAGAGAAATTAGTATTCACGTGACTCACCAGAAAGCGAATCTTCTTGATGCTGAAGGTATTGGAGCTGCGGAGGTGATCAGCCAGGCGCCCTGGCGTGGCAATGACTACATGTGGTTTCCGGGAGAGCTCCAAGCCTTGGGCCACCATGTCTGTGGGCAGAAAGGAGCGAGAGGCGGGACTGGGTGTTAGCCTGAGGTTTCAGGGTTCTACACTCAGCACTCCCTGGCCCGCATATCCCACGCCACTCAGGGTCTCCCCGGGGCATTGTACCCGTGCTGCTCAGTGAGCACCCTGGCTCCTCATACCCATGCCGCCGACAATGATGCAGTCTTTCAGGCCTAGAGGCTTCCCCAGAACCCGGAACTGTTCAGCAATCTGGTAGGCCAGTTCCCTGTAGGCAGACAGGGGACAGGCTGGGTCAGATGGGGATTCTATGTCAGCATTCCATTCCCTCTCCTGTTCACACATCCTTTGAGGCTCCCAGTCTCCTTCGACAAAGACTTTGATACTGAACACTGGAAGCCTGTTGTGACTCCTGGTCCCTCACCATGCTGGGCTCCAGAACATCCCATAGCCCCTCCCCTGTCAATATCACCCAAACTGGCCTCTCTTCCTCCCATGGCCTTAGCAATACAATCTCCAAAGCCTGACCATGTCAGTCTCCTCTCTACTTCCCTGGCCCACTCAGGCTTCAGACCATCTATCCACTTCCTCATCTCCTGTTTTGCTCTGCCCTGCTCACATGCCTGTAAAATCAATACTAAATCTCTTGAGATCCCTCTCAAGCTGGCTCTAACATACTCAATCCCCAGGACTCTTTCTTCCCTGCCTTTTCACTCTTTGCATATATGTAGCAGTTCTCTCTGCCCAGAACATCTTTCCCCAAGTTTGTCCCTTGGAAGTACTCTTCTCGTTCTGTAAGTCACCACTTGAATGAAACCTCCCTCACCCCCCATCATGAACTCACACCATGCAGTGCCTACCTATATATCAGTCATCATACTTGTCAACTCAAGGATGGGAAATGTGTCTATTTCTTGGGTTACAAGACTGTTCACACTTGTTGCACCCCACCTGTGTAATTCTGCAGTGCATCTAAGAGGCAGACACAACTTCTGTCCATTTCACATGTGAGGAAAGCATGGCTCTGAGAGGTAAAGGCTCTTATCCAAGAGAATACAAATGTTAACTCACACTCAGGATCCTGTGTGAGCTCACCTGGTGGGTGTCAGCACGAGGCAAAAGATACCATAGGGATCCTCAGACAACTTCTGCAAGATGGGTAGGACAAAAGCTGCTGTCTTGCCGCTGCCTGTCTTGGCACAGCCCAGGCAGTCCCGACCTGGGTGGAGGGCAAAGCAGCATTAACACAGTCCAGGTGTAAACAGGAAGTATCCGACAACATCTAAGGAATGATCACTGTGTGACCTATAATAGCCTATATCCTTTCTATTGTGAGCACCTGGCAAGTTCCAAGAGGGAAAGGCCCTTAGAATCTTTAATAAACAGAATAGGAAAATGAGTCTCAGTTTTGCCCAAGACACAAGCTGGTGAACAGAAGCTGAACTTGAACCACATCCATCTTATCCTAGACGCTTGTTACTGGCAGTCTCAGTTCCCATTCGTAAAGTGAAGACAGCAGTGTAAGCTCTAACGGATTTCCCCAGTACTATCGAGCAGTCATTCACGAAACCCTCCCTCTGCTCTGAGGCTTAGAGAAAGTTTCAAGGATTACATCACTTGTCCGCGGAATCACTGCAAGTCAGTCATGAGCTTAAATGCCAAATGCCCAATCTTCCTTTAAAGCCTCGCAGGACTCGCGCGGTTAAAGGCTGCGAAAAGAGAGCCGACTGCTCCTGGAGAAAAGGCCGGGGCACACTCACCCTCCAAAATGGCGGGGATGCATCCGAGCTGCACGGGTGTGGGCTGCTTCAAACCCAGCTGCCGACATTGTTCCACAAGCCACGATGACAACCCCAGCTCCGCAAACCCAGCCATACTCACCGCCAGCCACGGGGCCTCTTGAGCGGCGCTTCCGGCGCGAGCGGATGACGCCATGGAAAGCTTCGCGTTTATTGGATCGACCTCATGCGTGCTACCGCCCACCCCAGCTCATTCAGCAATTCCCAAAGTCGACCACAGCCTCACCCTGTTTCCCAGAATCCCTTTAACGCGCAGAATCTAGTCGAACTACAATTCCCGGGGTGCCCTGCGAGACGTACTTGCGGCACCCTCCCCTTTACTTTCGATTAAGGGTCTCCCATTGGTTCGTAACCAGCTGGGGCATGAGTAAACTACATTTCCCGGCGTGCTGCGCGATACCTCCCTCCTTCCGTTGACGTGTCCCTCCGGAAGAGGGGAGTGTGAAGGCGGCGATATGGCACCCCCTGCCCCTGGCCCAGTCTCTGGAGGCTCCGGGGAAGTGGACGAGCTGTTTGATGTAAAGAATGCCTTCTATATCGGCAGCTACCAGCAGTGCATCAACGAGGCTCAGCGGGTGAAGGTGGGGCCGCTGGGGGGCGGAGGGACTCGGGGCTCTGGCATAGGATGCTTCCTGGTAGCCGCTGGTCATGCTCTTACTTAAAACCTTTCTGGTCTTTTGTCTCGGCGCTTACCCCGCGTATGTCTTCAAAAGGTGTCTAGAAATCGTCTTTGTGCCAGGACAGAGCTCGTATCTGTAACAGTTTTTCACCCTTCTCGGTGTGTGCTTCCTCTGTGCCCTGAGAGGCATTTGGGTGAGGGAAGCGTTTGTACCACTTAGAGTAGTGATATCAACAACTTTTTGTTCACCACCTACACTGTGCTGCCGAACCCGCAGTACCCGCTAGGCAGGGACTGTGGTTTGTCCTCGTTTTACAGATGAGAACACGGGGACGCGGAGACAGTAATGACTTAACCCCCGTTACTTCGTCCAGTCCTTGCCCACTTACTCATTCCTCACTGAGCATCTTCATGGTCAGGCACTGTATTTGTGCTGGACGCAAAGCAGTGGCAAAATAGGCAAAACTTCCAGCTCCCTTGGAAGCTCCCTTCATCTTCGAAAGGAAGGTTTGACAGTAAATAAGTAAGTCAGGAAGGTTGGTGGGAAAGAACTTGGTTGTTTGAGAGCAGGGCCGCGCCAGCACCGGTTGGGGGTCAGGGACCTTTGCCTTTTAGGGAGAGGCATGGATGTTACTGTCACTGAGAGCGAAGTGCTGGAGCATTTTTAAGAGCTCCAGCTCTTAAGTGAATATGGCAGGGTCTTTGTAGGAGGAGGGTAGACTCATGACAGAGGTTTGAATGTTATTTTGAAGGTGCTGAAGGCCATGGGAGCACACGCAAGGGAGTGGCAGACATCTTCAGAGTCAGCTTAAGAGGAATTTGGACTCTGAAGTAGAGAAGGTTTGCTTTCCATGCCTCTGTCTTTGGCAGTGTGCCTGGATTCTCTGAGCATATGATAGGATTGAAACCTCAGACTTAAAAGAGTCTGAGAATTTGTTGAGGTAACATTTGCACCATTGTATTGGTTTTCCAGTGCCTCTGTGACTAGAGGTGATAAACAATAGCGATGACACAAATTTATTATTTTACATTTTCTGTAGGTCAGAAGTGGTTTTTTTTATTCTTTTTTAAAAATTTTATAACAGTTTATTTTTACATCATTTTGTACATTTTTTTCCCCATCTCAATTGTAATCCCCGTGGTTTCCCATCACAAAGTCACCCGTGTGCCATCACCATAATCCCGTGCACTTCCCTCACGCCCCCCCCC